CCTTACCCCTTGTACCCAGGGGTGCTGGAGAACCTGAGCAGCGCTGAGACGTTTCTTGGCATCCCGCACAAGCAGTTTGGAAATGAGGTCTTTGGCACTGGAAGAAATATGAGCCCACTCTTTCTCTGGAAACTCATACTTGCCCTCCTGGATGCTTTCAAACAAGGTGTTCTAGGGGGAAAAAAATCAAAGAAACAAGAGATGAGTATTATTCATTGAGCAGCACATGAATATGATACTTTTGTCATAGGTTTACAACAGTGCAACAGGGTGTGTGATGTACCTGACACGCTTGACAAGGTTCTCCGTTCTCCCATCCACAGTCGCTTCCACAGTGGCCCACGAAGGGAGGGTAACCACTCAGCATGATGTAAAGGATGACGCCCAGGCTCCACAGATCACAGCGCTTATCGTAGATGGTGGCCTCCTCGTTGAAAGCTTCCACAACTTCCGGCGCCATGTATTCAGCAGATCCACACTAAGGTGAGAGAGTAAGAAAACGAGGAAGAAGGGGTGAGAATAAAGTAATCAACTGGCACCTGGGTCGTTTAAGTCACTGAACTGGTAGTCACATTGGCTGTGCAAAAAAAACAACAATAAAAAGTGCATCTGTTGGTTATGCGGCATTTCAATTTCTACGTTTTTTTCCCCCCTCACTTTAGACGTCCTCGTTCACGTTCTTGCATTCAGCTGACAAATGTCATGTGTTCTGTGGGACCCCTAAGCACATCTGAGACCGACAGCGTGAGAATCACATGGTAAGCAGCAGACTACGCCAAGCTGGAGCGGGGGGTTGACGACAGATTAACTAGTTGAATGCTAAAGTATTCACCCCCGGTTCTTGCTCATGAAGAGCATTTGTGCTGCAGTCCAGATGGAAAATGCGACGGTGGCATACAGCCCCTTAAATGAAGTAACCACATAACGATTGTTATGTCACAGATGGAGGCGGGGTAGTGAGTCATGCAAGCACAGACTGCTTTGTCGGTTCGGGCTCCGACCACCTCTTCCTAAAACTAGGTCATGCATTGGGACAGGAAAAAAAA